TTCCATGTCTGTCCTACTTATAAGTAGTTTTGCTCATTTATGTGAGATATGTTTACTAGTTTTATGGAGATGGGTCTGATCTTCAAAGTGCATCGAAGATGAACTTGTTTAGAAATATTTGTGTTTCTTTTCTTAATTCCCTCCTTCCTATTTCAACATTTTACACAAATATTAGCTTTGGAAGAAACTTGTATAGGAATAAGATGAGAAAAAAGATTTGAACCCTACAAGTTTTGGAACAAAACTTCAACAACCATGGCTAGTTGTGGGTAATAGGAAACTATGTATAAACAAGTTTCTTATCTTCTTTTGGAGGCTATAAGCACTCGGTGATGGATGTAGGATTTTGACTTAGAGGTGGTCAACAGATTTTAGAAAATAAAAAAAAAAATCTTAACAAATGGAGTGCACAAATTTAAAATGAAAACTCAATAGATGATAACTAACAAATAAATGTTTTTAATAACAAAAGACACCATATAAAGTAAAACATAAAATTAGACTCTCCACCACTTTATTTCCTATTAATACGAGACATGAAATTGTGCTCATCGGTCTTTCATTTCATCAAATGCATTTATTATTGAATCAACATCAATTTGTTGAACTATTCTTCTCTTAATATATGTAATCAATGAATCGGTAAGAGCATCATCTTACATCTTATTACATAATTGAGTCTTCATAATCTTCAATGCTGAAAAGCATGTGTAATGGTTGCTGTAGAGACCAACAAGTCAAAATAAGTCAAATTAATCTGTCAATCAAAGGATAACTATTTGACTTTCTTGTCTTTGCCATAATTTGGCACAACTCTGAAATGGGCCAACTCATTGAATTTCATCATGTTCCCTTGCTTATAATCCCAAATCTCAAATTAATTTTCACAATCCAGGATCGCATTGTAAATTGGAGTACCTATGTTAGGTGGATCTATATTGGGTTGCTTAATTGTTTGTAATGATGGTCCTAAACTAGACAACTCCATTGGAAGAGTTTCCTTAGAATGAAAAGCCTTTTCTCTATCCGGAGATAATTTTCACTTGAAAAAAGAAACAATTGTTTTTAGAGGCATTTTTTTGTTGATAAAAGATAAAATTAACTCATAGGCCAAAATCATACAAAAGTTAACAAAATTCTATAAATCACATTAAGGCTATGCAAATTAATACTAAATTTCTAAATTAAACTAAGAATAATTGATAAATTAATAATCATCAAAAAATTCTAAATGACAAACTTAAAATAAATATAAGTGTGCAAAAAATTAATGATTATGAATCAAAATATACTTGAAGGAATTGTAAAGGGGGAAAAATTAGATTTGACTTTAGGAAGAGTGGATGTTTGAAATGAGTTGAACAAAATCTGAAAAAATCAAAGATTGATGCATGGTTGATCGAGGAATTCATTGGCTTTAGGTTTCTGACTCATAAATAATATATCATTGTTCTCTCTCTCTCTCTCTCTCTCTCTCTCTCTCTCTCTCTCTCATAGATGATGTGCAAATACAATTTTTGTCATTGTTGAATTTCCTTTAATATTTGTCATTTGTTTCCTATTTGTATAATGTTTTCCTAATATTAATTGATATAAAGAAACCATCTTAATAGAGAAACTAAAATTTTTGTTCGTTTAGGAAACTTACATAAGTGAAATTAATATTTCCTAAGGTAATATTTGAAACTTATAGTTGTATTATAAGGAAACTAGAGTTTGTTTACTGTGATATTATAACGAAACTAGAGTGTGTTTATTGTGAGACAACTTTTTAATCTAAGAAAACTATAGTTATTTTATTATAAGACGCTCTTTTCAAGGAGAAATTAAAGGAAATTAACAACCTAACTAACGATAAATATGTTTAGGGAAGGGGGCAAATTAATAAAGTTCTAGCTTAAAACTAAAATTCTAAATGTAACTTTTTGGAAATTATAGCCATCATGAGCATAGAGAAATTGAAGAAATGATCAAAGCTAAAAAAAACTATGGTTATTTGAAGTTTAATGTTAAACAAAATTGGTTTTGTTGAGTTTTGTTTTTTTCTTAATTCTAAATCTTGAACATTTTGGTTTACGGCAATTTTGACTTTTCACAAGTTTTGTTAGACTAAATTAACAGAACTTAGTATTAGAGGGGCATTTGTTATTTGGCTAAATCACAAGATTTATTTGATAATATTGCCAAGCCACAAGGGATTAGTATTAGAGGGGCGTTTGTTATTTGGCTAAATCACAAGATTTATTTGACAATATTGCCAAGCCACAAAGTTCTAGCTTAAAACTAAAATTCTAAATGTAACTTTTTGGAAATTATAGCCATCATGAGCATAGAGAAATTGAAGAAATGATCAAAGCTAAAAAAAACTATGGTTATTTGAAGTTTAATGTTAAACAAAATTGGTTTTGTTGAGTTTTGTTTTTTTCTTAATTCTAAATCTTGAACATTTTGGTTTACGGCAATTTTGACTTTTCACAAGTTTTGTTAGACTAAATTAACAGAACTTAGTATTAGAGGGGCATTTGTTATTTGGCTAAATCACAAGATTTATTTGATAATATTGCCAAGCCACAAGGGATTAGTATTAGAGGGGCGTTTGTTATTTGGCTAAATCACAAGATTTATTTGACAATATTGCCAAGCCACAAGGGAGGTAAATGTAATTAACCCTATTATTTTACAAATATGGCCTACTATTATACTCCTTTTTCTTTGCATTTTTTTCTTATTTTTATTTTCATTTTTTGCTTATTTTTTCAAACCACTACTTTCTCACATTTTTTATATAATTGGAATGATTTCCTTTATTTGTTTAATCTCATTCTCTCAACTTTGGTGTAATATTTATATTTGTTTTTTGCACTATGAATAATTGATTGATTATGTACTACAGCACATTACATGAATTCATAATCTTATAAAACAAACACGATTTTGTGGTAATTGAATATTTAAAAATGCCTTTGAAATATAAGTAAATAATAGTGTAAATAATAGTTTTCAATTAATAAAATTTACTTTATATTTCATAAATTGTTTTCATGGTTCATAATAGTCTGAGGATTCGATTCATGTCCAACGACATCCTTCTATGAATTAAGGTTGGTTACTTGTTAGGTTTTATTCCAACTTGTTTCAACATGTAGAAATGTATTGTTTCTACAATTAAGAAGAAACTATAAAAAAGATCAAACTACCATATTTTTTTGTCACTTTTACCAAATCTCATAAAAATTAGAACTAAATGATGAGAAAACCCAAGAAGAAGAGGAAAAAGAGTCGAAAGATTATCATTGGTTTTTTTTTTTTTTTGGGTGGAGGTACAATTGTCCCTCCATTTTGTTAGTTCAAAATAGAAATTGACATAAGGGCCAAAAACTTATACATTAACTTGATTATGCGTTTAAATGATACTAGTTGATTTGGGCCTCGTACCCGATATTGCATGACATTGCCCGTTGAACTACGGTGTTGTTGTAATTATAAATATGTAAAAGTAGTATAAAATAAAGTAGTTAAAGACTAAGATTTGAAATAGCTTAGTTTGTATACACCAAAAACCATCTTTTCTAGTAAATCAGGTGCTAATGAAAACTGAGATTTTTTTTTCTTTTCTTACCTTTAAAGTTTGTACACACCAAACACCAAATTTAATCATACCAAAGCATTTAAATAACGAGCAGTCAAACCCTTTGCACATGGTAATTTAAAGGATGATAATACAATCACTGCATATGCAATGATTTAAGACCTATACAATGACAGTCCATAATCCCTAATATATACATCAATATGGCATGAATCGAGCCATAATTATAACTACTTTGACGAAGTAAGGATACTGCCCTCCCAAAGAATTTAGTGGCAATAAAATTTAGTTTTCACAAGTTACAAAAAGATCATAATTCTTCAATAGATTGTCAGTGGAATACACTATGGTAGCATAATTTTTTTTTGAAGGATGGACAAGAAAAATATCAATTCAGCTAAATGTTAACTTAGAGATTAAGAATTATAAAAGTCAAGAAGACTCCGAGAATTACGCTCGTTCAGGTTGTTATTCGTTTACTACGTTTTACCAATAGTTTGCTTATAACTGTATATAAAGTCAAGTTTTATTCATACGCAGATGAAAGAAATAAGAAATTGAAACATGGAAAGGCAGGAAACCCTGACAACTTCAATAGATAGGTAGATATTCTCGTTCAAGATCTAAGTAATCAATGACAAGTGTACTAAAACTATGCACAAAGTTTAAAGTGATAAAAGTAAAGTAATATATATAGAGATGGAAAAGTGCAAGTATGTTTAATATGTAAGTAGTAGATTTAACGCAATATATTGTATACTTGATCATTATAGATCAAAATATTGGTAAAATTGCAGAAGCTGCAACTGGAACAAAGAACAAGAATTAGATCAAGATCACGGTGAAGTATTATACAGTCATATATGCAAGCATCCTAAAATTACTATATAACTATGTTATAAGAAACCAAATGAACAAAAGGGCAATACGAAATAATTAGGAGAGAAGGAGATGGTGCGGTGGTTGGTGGGTCTAGCCATTAGTACACAAATCAAGAAATGGCCGGAAAGCATATCTATTAAAAAGTTTAAAAGACAAAATACCAACCACAAAACTCAACAATCTGTCACAATGTAGGGGTGTTTTTGAAACGAGAGACTAATGTAGTAAAATCACTACAATTAGTGGACCCTGGCCCACACATATTAGAAATTATCACATTTCCAATCAGCCAAGCAGCTATAAATTTCCACAATTACCCACCTAGTGAAGGTGTTGATGGGGGACCATGAAATACTATTCATAACTTCCATTCCTTCTTTACATTGTTAGGATTAGGGTATAGTATAGTATACTGGGTAAAGGTGTTAAAAAACAATAGTTTGGGAGCCGGCCGAGCAATTTCTGCTATATATATATATATATTTATATTTATATAAATCTAAAGTGTTTTTGACCCTTCTTTTCGAGAAATCCAAGGTGAATCCTTTCCCTGTCTTCTTTAGCCCCTTCGTCCTTGCCGGGAAAAACCCCACCCAAAATCCCCACTTAGCAGGAGCAAAAATCCCTTCCACCTCTTCCACCGGCGCCTGCACAGGCGCAGCCGCCTTCCCCACAACATACCACGGTGACATTCCCGCCTTTCCTCACCTACCCCTGAAACAACTGCTCTCTTCCCTGTCTCCTCTCTGTTTCTCGCTTATAAATCCTTACCACTACATAAACTCCCTATGCTTACGACTTCGTTTGCTGAGTTGCAGCATTGATGCCCGGGCGGTGTGGTTGTAACTAACTTTCAATACTATGATGAACGCCCCAATTATTGGTAATTCCTAAATCCCGGAAAAAAAAGTTCTGTTCTTTCTCGATTATTTTTCCTTTTACGTTTATGTTTATTTTTTGTGAATAATTTTATGTATGGTGATCATTTTTGTTTTTTGGCGGGGTATTTTTGAAGATCCCTTGCAGGGGGATTTTCCGGAAGTAATAGAAGAGTTTCTGGAACATGGGGTTATGAAGTGCATTGCTTTTAATCGCCGCGGAACTCTTCTTGCCGGTATTTCCTAAGTCCTATGTCTCTCCCTCTTTCTCTCTGTGTCCATATTTGTGGATATTCGATTGCAGGTTGTTTCCCCTTTTTGCTTTTGGAACAGTGTACAGACGGATAGGTAGATAATATGTCGCTTAAGTAAAGATTCCATAGCTAATAAAGCCTGCTAAGTGGCTTGAAATAGAGAATAGAGTATGTATTCTTTCTCAGAATGCTAGGTGGCTGATGCCACAAGGTGCTCTGTTCCATCTTATACTTCGTTGTAACATGGGCCTCAATTCATTCAGGAATTAAGCGTAAACACGAAAATTTGACATTATTTTGCCATATTAATATCCATATCTACAATGGAGATTTGGTGATTTGTAGCGCTAGCTTGTCCTATTTGCTTTCTGTGCAGGACACGAGCTACTGTATATGATTTTTTTTTTTTTAAATTGCCAAGGCCTAGTCTGCTAAATTATTTGATTCTGGTTGTTTTGAAGTTGCAAACCGTCAATTAAGAAGGTCATCAGGTGCTTGTGTAAGATCTGATAATTTCGCACGCAAAGATCTCCCAGCATCGAGCTTTCTTTTTTGGGCGGATGAATTAAATTTTGTTGAAGCCATTCTGTTAGCCAGAACAAAATTCTGTCTACTGTCACTAATTCATTCCCTTTTTCTTTTCTTTCTTTCTTTCTATGGAAGCAAATCAGTAACTTGATTACAAAACAGGAAATGAGAGTTCCCATGATTGCACCTATACAGCATTAATGCTATAAGATGAAAAGACAGTAGCTTGCTATACACTATGAATAAAAAACAGAGACAGACAATCCCACTGAACTGCCATTACCAAATATTCCCTAGTCTACTTGACTCCCCTCCAAGACTGAGCAGTAAACCTCAAATCATCAGTCACAGCATGCACAGTACCGGAACAGACACCATTTTCTTTTGAAATAATGCATCATTCCTGCACCTCAAAAGCTGATACACTATCACTGCTAAAGCTAACTACAAGAATTCATCTTCAAACTGAGCTTGAGAATGGATATACAGCAGCCATTCTAACCCAGTTTCCCCAGAGTAGGCCCCTGTATATTTCAGACAGATTTTACCTCGGTCTATACTGCAGCAGCTACTGGACAAACAAGAAAGAGATGATATATTGATTCATCAGACCGGTGACATAAATTCATTAATGTAATTTACTTGCATATGAGTTTATGCTTCTTTGTAGTCTACTTCCTGTGATATAGTAGCCATAGCATATAAGGAGAATCTAGGCAGAATATTCCTGAACAAAACCAGCTTATACCATTGTGCTACATTATGTTCACCTCTCAAGGTCTTAACTGCAGAAACAACTTAGGACTGTCCAAAGGGATGGCCTGGCCATCTGACGTGATGACCTGCCTTATGTCTGGTACAATGTTCACAGGAGTGTTCTACTTTTGTACCTCCACATTCACCCTAAGACTCACATGCTGCCTTCAACATTCACTCCCTGTTACTCTCAAGGAAAGGCATCCTCTGACATCCGATCTGATGCCATGACTCTCCTTTTTGAAACAGTCTATTTGTTACCTCAAAACACGGAATTGCTCTCTATCTCTCCCTCTCTCCCTCTCCTCCCCTGCCCCCACCCAACAAAATCAATTGTATTGTGATAAACTTAATTGTTTGTGTCATCTCTGCTTTGGTTCTTGCTTGTAGTATTAGCAGTCACAGATTGATTTCTTGGACAACAATCCTGTTAATACATGAAAATTGGTTTCATTGACAGCTGGGTGTGCCGATGGAAATTGTGTTATTTGGGATTTTGAGACTAGAGGTATTGCAAAAGAACTCAGGGATGATGACTGTCTTGCTGCCATAACTAGCATTTGTTGGTCTAAGTATGGTCATCGCATACTTGCCTCCGCTGCTGATAAATCATTGACTCTCTGGGATGTTGTCAAAGGAGAGAAGATAGGACGGACAACACTTCAGCAAACCCCTTTACAAGCACGCTTGCATCCTGGCTCTTCCACTCCGTTGATCTGCTTAGTTTGCCCCGTCTCATCAGCTCCAATGATTGTTGACTTGTGTTCTGGTAGCACAACTGTGCTTCCTGTGTCATTACCTGACACAGGCAATGGTCTTGCCCCTCCATCACGTAACAAATTTTCAGATGGATCTGCACCTTTTACTCCAACTGCAGCATGCTTCAACAAATATGGGGACTTGGTTTACGTAGGAAATTCGAAAGGAGAAATACTTATTATAGACCATAGTAAGATTCAAGTCTGCGGTGTAGTTCAGGTTCCTGGGGCTTCTGTGATAAAAAATATGGTGTTCAGCAGGAGTGGACAGTATCTTCTTACGAATTCAAATGACCGTACTATCAGGATCTATGAAAACCTTCTCCCTTTGAAAGATGGACTTAAGGCCCTTGATGAATCAAATAGTGGCTTAGATGAGCTAGATGGTGTTGAAAAGGTGAAGACTATTGGATCAACGTGTTTGTCACTCTTCCGAGAATTCCAAGATTCCATCACCAGAGTGCACTGGAAAGCACCATGTTTCAGTGGTGATGGTGAGTGGGTCATTGGTGGGTCTGCTAGCAAAGGAGAGCACAAGATCTATATATGGGACCGGGCTGGTCATCTTGTTAAAATCCTTGAAGGTCCAAAGGAAGCATTAATGGACTTAGCATGGCATCCTGTCCACCCCATTGTTGTCTCTGTTTCCTTGGCTGGATTGGTTTACATTTGGGCAAAGGATTATACTGAGAATTGGAGTGCATTTGCTCCAGATTTTAAAGAACTTGAGGAAAATGAAGAATACATAGAACGGGAAGATGAATTTGATTTGATGCCTGATACTGAAAAGGTGACATGAGAAAGAATCTATAAGTAGTAGAACTTTGATTTTCTTTGTTCTGCTTCTAATATTTGTGTACGCTTGCAGGTGAAAGAATCAGATGTAAATGAAGATGATGAAGTTGATATCATGACTGTGGAGAAGGATTCGGCTTTCAGTGATTCAGATGTATCAGAAGAAGAAATATGCTTCTTGCCTGCTGACCCAACTCCTGATGCTCCTGAGCAGCAAGACAAATGTGTAGGAAGTACTTCAAAGTTAGCTGATAGTGCTCAGTCAGGATCTCCTCTATCTGACGAGGCTGGACAAAATGGACATGCAGTGAATCAATCATCAAGCCCCCTTGAAGGTAGTGTTACTGTATGTCTATCTTATGTGAAATACAAACCAAAGTCGGGCCAATCTTGATAGGAATTCTTAAGTTTAATCTGGTCTAGGCATTATTAAAATCTCAAATAAGCAAACTAATTAAAACAAGAGCAGGTTACAAAATAGCTGTGATTAACAGAAAAAGCCTGGATGAAGGATGCTTTGTATCTACTCTTAGGAAACTGCAATGTAGTATCTGTGCTACTGTGTCAAAACATCAGTTGTGTTTATATCTGATCTGAGATGGAATTACATTGGCATTCAGTTATTTATAATTATGTTGTTTAGAAATTCGACCAGAGAATGATAGATACCCCAGTAATTCTAAGGTTTACCGAAGATTCAATATTAGTCTTTGATTGTTGGGATTTGAGAAGAAGTTTCGTTGTTTATGTTTATTTTTCCATTCTCATAGTTTAACCCAAAACAAGCTTAAGGGTATAGATGTTTCTTTACACCAGGATGCTATTTCATTATTACGAGTGAGATTTGAGTAGAAGCTTCGCACCTATTGTCAAGTGTACTCATTGATTAAGCTGCATTTCTCCTTGCACCAGGATACCATTTTTATCTCTAGGTGCCATCCTGCTTGTTTCCTCTTTTTAAGGGCATTGTTCTGATACCCAAAATTCTAGGATACTTTAGTACACAAGTCCATTTTTATCTCATGTTTACTGAATAGAAAGTTCAGGGGTTCCATATGGAAACATTATCCTAAAGCTGAAATAATCACAAAAAGGTAAGAATTGGTTTCTTTGGAAGAGTTTTTTCTTTTTGGTTAATTAAGATGAAGTAATTGCAATCTAATTTGTGAAACATCAGTACATCAGAGTTTGGTGTTAAACTGTATCATCTCATCAGTTGGTTCTTTTCATTTTCTATTGTTCAATAAATTCTTGAGATTTTAAGGCTTATAAATTAGGAGGTAAAGTGTGCAAGCTTGATCTTATTTATTATTTCTTAATGTGATCACCCACTTTGCCATGCCTTTTCACTGCACGTTTTTATACTAAATTTGAAACATATCATCAAAAGTTTTCCCTTCCTTTTTTTGTTTTTTTTTTGCAGTTTTCACATTAAACAAAGAGCCCTGGCTTCTATTTGTTTGCCTGGTCAACCAATAGGCATCTTGCCTTATTGTTATTCATCCAGTCTTTTTTTTTGTGGCATGTAGACGGTCATCTACTTAATATTTAGTATTCGTGATTTGGAATTTCTTTTCTGAGACATCATTCCATGTGTGCTTATCGATTTGCTTGGTTTGTGTTAATTGACTTGCTTGGTTTGATGTTTAATGTGCCAATTCATGTACCTGCTTATTCTTGTCTTCAACAGGGCTCCTGTATGACACAATTACTGGACATAGAACTATACAAAGTTTGTCAGTTCAACCTGGTTACCTGTCTAGGTTAAAGGCTAGATAATGTTGTACCATATCAATGTCTTTCTAAAAGATAACTGTAGGAAAGTTAATAAGATATGTGGTTTCTTCCATTTTGCTGCTTAAGATATTGCTTTCTTTAAAAAAAATTGTGATTTCTTTCTATTGGTGCCATTTTCTTTTTTTACCCCTAATTTATATGATCTCTGTGAATTGAAGACAATTTTTCAATTAGGATTTGGATCAAATTTGTTTTGAATTAGACACAAGTGGCATAACTGAAATTATAATGTAAAGGACCAAATTCACAGGGACTCCAAATAAAATCAATCATTAGCTGCTAGCTTATCTTATGGGATACTAAATGATAATTGAAGAAAATCAAATGTAGTACCGCTCAAGTGGACATTGAAAGATAGAAAAATAGGAAGGAATGATAGATGAGAAAGAGTCAATGAAATTGGTGACATCATATACCAAAGCTGTGTAGTTTTAATACATTCTGTCACATTTTAGCGTGATGATTATGGAAAGAAAGACAGTTATCTTTATTTCTCCCTTTCTGTTGTAATCATAGATATTTAGGATAGTGGATAAGGTATAATTTGTATCTGAAGATGAGAGGAGCTAAAGGAGTATTGTACGATGCACACTTTCTATTCTTTTGTGAAACATGTCTGTTTGGGAGTAGCAACCTCTCTTCTTAGAACTAGTAATACCTGTCACAAGATCTTTATCTCCCTTGTTGCATCTATCAAACTCTCTTTCAAGACAGAACAAAATTGCAATTTCTAAGCAAAGAAGGTCAGGATTATGTGGAATAGGAATTTTAGGATGATTTTATCATTCTATAATTGGGTTCCTGAAGGTTGATCGTCAGTACCGGATCACAATAGTGCTTTAATACATTATGGTGTTGTGAATCTTTTTTGTCAACTTTATAGGTGAGACGCACTAAATAGATTATGACTTCATTTCCGTGAAGTTAACTGCATTGATTTTGTTCATTTTATTTTTATTTTTTGAGAGTTGTAGGTTTTTTAGAGGGTAATTTAAGTATGTGTCTGCCTTGTAATTCAGGAATGGATAACTCAGCTGCTGAGGACACAGGAGGCACTCGCTTGAAAAGGAGGCGTAGGCCTTCTGATAAGGTGATGGAGTTACAGGTAGAGAAGGTTAAGAAATCTTCACAGAGGATGAAACCATCTGGTAAATGATGATAAACTAATTTAACCACTTTGTTGAATAGTGCATTACTCTCTAAGAATTTAGAGGCACACCTAGGTAATATATTTTCAAACAGTTGTACCCTTGAGATTGATTTCCTTTGTTAGATGACCGTTGAGACTTAAATTGTAGAATATTTTCTATAATAGTTTGATCCCTTTTGTTCACCAAGATTTGGCAATAGTTTCCGTTGATTAACAAAATTCCTTTGCAAAAACATTTACCTTTTTTTTTTTTTGCTGAATTGGTAACTTGTTGAAATTGGTACCAGTAAAAGCTAAATCGTGTTCTTATTTTGCAGAATCATTTTGCTCCATCAATCATAGATGATGTTTCAATAAAATTCTGTAGGATTTGGTATTGAAGTGGAGTTATTACCAGATACTGTAGATTGTCTGGAAGTCACTTGTACTGATTGCTTTCCTTCAATCCATTCTTCTCTTCCCTTTTTTCTTTTTTTCCTTTTCTGCTTCTCTTTTTCTTCTAATGCTGAATGTAGAAGGGTAGTTTGTTTATTGGTTTCATGCTGAACAATGTGTTTGATATCAATTTAGCTGCAGTTTAAGAGCATAAGTGGTAACTCCAGTCCTTGTCGTTAGATCTTGGCCAATGTACTGGATGCAGGAGAACATATCTTTAAGGATGGCTAAATGATAGCTGACTACAACTGATACATTATATTGTTATTTATGTATGATATTTCTAATTTCGACCCATCAACTCAAAGAATAACTGTATTCACATTCTTGCAAATTGAGGCATCTGAAGACTGTGTAGCTGTGGTTGAATTAGATTTGACTGTAGGCATCCATTCAAAAACAGAGGTAGTCTTCTACCTAAAATTGCAATTTTTCCAGAGCTTGGCCGACATGGCTGTGACCAGGACTTCAGCCACCTAATAAATTGCTTAAACAGTTTGCCAAACATCTGTGATTGTTTGATTGCATTGCAGAAAGCGTAGAATAATGCATTTTGCTTCATCTATGTAATGTGATTGAAAGTCACTGGCTGACATTTAGGGACATTTGAACAGCCCAATTCAGAAGCAAACCATCTTCTCCCATTTTCACCAAGTTGAACTCTGCTTATAGCAACTCTTCTTAAAAGATTTGGATACAAGTTTTTTCTGTAAACGTAATTAGTACAAGGCTAGGTTCCTCGTACGTTGGCTGTAAACATAAGCTTGTTTAGATATATACATGTTTAAATTGTTCTAAAATGCTGCTAGTTTCAACAAATTTGCTCTCTTTTCCGGAACTTTAGTTACATTACCCATTTATTTTGGAATTCATTTATTGAAGTAAGGGTTTGAGACACATTATCTTGAAGCATCATTAGTTGCACAACCAATCGCTTGTACTTCTATTAGCATTTCAGAACAATGTGAAGGAAATGAATAGTTGGCTGTAAAATGAACGATTGAGGACAATCACATATTTTACCTCAAGCATGCACTTTGTGTAAGAATTCTCTTAAACATATCTCATTTGCTTAATATAAGCTACTTTCTGACCTAGATCGTCCAACTTAGCCTTGGTAATTATCTATGTTGCATTGGACAAATGCTGAAAAGGAATGGGGCTCAGACTTTCTTTTAGTATGACTGCTGGCACCCTTGTGGTAGATTATTAAACATATTTGTGTTAACCTTTGAAACACTTAGGGTGTGATCATTTGTGGATTAAATACATTGCATGTCTAGATGGACGTTGATTTTTTCCTACTAGGCAAAGATAGAAATGAAACAGAATCTTTATTGAAGATTCCCAAACATCTGCAATGCCTAACTCTGAGGTTAGGCAAAACACTTAGGGCATAACCTTTTGGACTTAAATACATTGCAATTATACATGGATGTTGATTTTTTCCTACGGGGAAAAGATAGAAATGAAACAGAATCTTTATTGAAGATTGTGACAAGTAGGATAAATCACAAAACGTATTTGAATATGTCTTATTGTTAATAATATTAATTGATTTTTTTATAGATGAAATAAAGTAAATTGTATTTTGATTTTGTTATTGATTCTTTCTTGATTTGCTTTATTAATGGATTTATCCATAATTTTTTTTATTGATTCACTAAAAAGTTGTGTATTGAGTCTGGTAATATTAATGATAAATAAAAATATATCTATGTATATTCCTTCAATGAAAATTTTGGAGGAGATCCATGGCTGCAGAGTCCTACTGGAATTTACTCCAAAATTAGTGTTGAGGTAATTAGAAGCAAAGGTCTAACGTGTTCTAGAACCTGTTGGCTTGGTCAAAAAGCATGTGCCCTGTAACATTTTCATCTCGTGGGTCATGTGAAGAAGTAGAATGAGTACCATGAGTTCTAAATGGGCTGCAATGGCTGATAATTCTGTTTTATTGTGACATAATGGAGTTGAGCCGTGAATTATTTATCTTTCTTGCCTTTTTGCTGTGTTTATGTGGTCTCATGGCAAGCAGTTGGACTTGGTACAGAGAGGAGTATTTTTATGCAGTCAAGAATTGCACTGCTTGCTTGTTGAATATAAGCAGCAAAAATTACTAGGTTGATAAAAGAATTGCTTTAGCTGCTTCTACTTATCATATGTGGGTGACCAGAAATCTTGTTCTGTTACAACATCAGATGATTTGCCCTGATATGTTTTGCAAAGTCTATTGATGATGTCAAGAGAATATGCTCTGTGTAGAGGTGTTCTATTCACTAGAGGGAACATGGACGTCAACCTAAAAAGGGTTCAGAATGCTGTTTCCTTTCGCAGATAAGTGCTACTATCAGTATCACGAAGGAATGCCCTCTATCTTATTGTACTTGTCTATAGGGATCTGCCATTTTCTTTTGTAGACTGTTTCTTGCTATTATCAATGAAAATCTTGTTCGAGGAAATACAAGAGGAAGCAAATTTATTATTTTTTTTTACTTTCTTGTTTACACTTTAGATCCACATACTTCTTGGGTTTCAAAGCATATAGATTTTGTATCATTTTGACACTACAGTAGTTTAGTTGTTGCTCTTTAAGAATGAATGTTTCTCATTTGGAAGATTTGCAATAGAATGTTCCAGAATGTTTTGAAAACTTTTTGGTGTAGTGAATGATTACAACCTTGGAAAGCCTCGCAATGAATATTTGTAATATACATGTTTGCACACAAGCTTATATCAAATTCTGCTTTCAGAATATTTCATACAAGGAAATTTCCAAATATTGAATGGACGCTGAGGTTCCTATCTATTGACATATGTTCATATTGCATCATTATATAGATCTTGTGACTGAGTTCCTTAACTACCTTAATGTTGCCATTCATCTTACTGACATATGTACTGAATGGTCAATCAATACCCTTGCGGATTAGAATTATTCTATAATGAATATCTCTACAAGAGTCTATTGCCTGACCTGTATAATGCTTCCTGTGTCTTTCAAGTGCAACATGAAAACAGGTATATTATTGGCCAAGAAATGCATCCTGTTGGGGTATTATTGGCCAGCTATATATACATACATGTACATATACATACATATATATATACATACATATATATATATATATATATATATATATATATATATATATATATATATATATATATATATATATATAGATGCCATGAACTTGTCTGGAAGTGCAAGGCTTATCAATTCACGCTTACCTGGTTCATGCTCTTTAGACAATGAGGGGTTTATCTTCTGGCCCTATTTCCAAAAGCATCAGGGTGCTATGAGTGCTTATTTATGGCTGTAGATTATTTCACTAAATGGGTAGAGATCGAGTCAATAACAAGCATAGCTGAGAAGTCCATTCAGAAATTAATACTATTTACAGGTTTGGTATTCCATACGTCTGAGTCGAATGATAGCAGATTAAGCATTGTGTGAAGAGCTACAGTGCTAAAGATTCATGGCGTGGAGATGAAGATTTAGCAGCGTTTCACATCGGTGGGACATTCGCAGGCAAATGGTCAAATTCAAATCGCGAATTGAGCCATCTCAGAGCCTTAAAGAAAAGGTTACATGGTGCTAAGGCTTGTGGGTGGATGAGTTCCGAAATATTTTAGGGGCAATCTGAAAACATCTGGGACAGAAACTCAAGAAACCCCATTTTTCCTTACTTTTGAGGCGAAGCCAGCTGTATCCACTGAAATCGGACGGGCTAGTGTGAGAATATAGAATTTCAGTATTCAGGGTAATGATGAAGAGCTACACTGCAATACGGATTCGTTAGAAGAAGCTCCATAGCAGGCCTCAGTTGAGCTGTGTAGTGTAAAGGTTAATTTTTTAAATAGTGTAATTCTCAAGTTCATAATCCATATTTTTAAATTGGAGATCTAGTTGGGCAGAACTCATGGAGTCAAAGGGAAAAATTGGGAAAGCTAGATCCCAATTGGGAAGGTCCATGCAAGGTTATGGAAGCTCACTGAGCAGGATACCATAAGTTGGCTACTAAAAGTAGTGAGCTTGTACCCGGGATGTGGAGTGCAACAAACTTGATGAAATTTTGTGATTAAACTTGGGCCCCGTTTGGAATCTGAGTTTTTTGGAAGTTTGTGTAAAACTTTACTGTAGATCACTGTAGAAGTTGTAGAAAAATTTTTGTAAGAGAAAAAACTTTTTTCCCTTTTCATTTTTTTTCTTTCATTTTCTTTTTTCTTTTTTTTCTTTCTTTCTTTTTTCTTTTCTTTCCTCCCTTCCCCTTCCCCCTTCCCCCTTCCCTCCCCTTTTCCCTCTCCCGAAGCTGCCAATGAAGCGGCAGATTCAAGGTTTTTTTTTTTTGCATTTTTTCTCTCCCCAAGCAACAGATTCAGGGCAACCTCTCTTTTCCCTCTCCCTCTCCTCCTCTCCCCCTCTCCTCCCCTCTACCATTCCCACTCGCCCGCCGTTGCTTCACCTTCCTCCAGGGGAGGCAGCAGTAGAAATCTTTTTTTTTTTTCCAATTTTCCCTTCCCCTCTCCTCCCCTCTCCCCCTCTCCTCCCCTCTACCCCTTCCCTCGCCGCTGCTGCTTCCCCTGCCGGCAGAGGAGGGAGCAACATAAACCTTTTTTTTTTTCAATTTTCCCTCTCCCTCTCCTCCCCTCTTCTCTCCTTCTCTTGCCGGACAGGACAGGTACAAAAACTTTTTATTTTTGTTGCAATTTTCCCTCTCCCCCTCTTCCCCCCTTCCCAGCTACCCTCACCCTAAGTTAAAAAAAAAAAAAAAGTCAAACCTTTCCTCAAGTTTAATAATCCACTCTTTGATGCCACTGGTGAAGTTGCAAGGGAATTTTTTGTTGGAGAACTTTTCCCTCTAGTGCCAGACCGTGGGAGAAGTTGCAGGGAAAGTTCCCTCTGATGCCAATGAAGAAAAGTTCCCTCTCTCAAGAAAAGTTTTTCGGAAATTTTTTGTGTATTAGAAAAGTTGAAGGGAAAATTTTTTTAAGTGTGTAGATTAAAAACTTTGATAAGGTTTTTGTGTTCCTGTAGCAAAAATTGTTAAAAAACTAGTAGCATATAAACTTGTAAAAAACTTGGAGTTCCAAACAGGCCCCAATGTATTCTCATCTTGTTTATTGTAAACAAAATTCATAGTGAGCTGACCCCATTTGATAATTTAATTCAGCATTTAAACTTAATAGATTCAAATTTTAATTCATAGTGAGCTGTAGATCTGTAGATCGGTTCAATCAAAATTTAAACTTAATAGATTTAAATTTTAATTTATATTCAGACGCATTTGATAATCAACAATAGAACATTTGAATTAATTAAGTAACATTGAATTTTCTAAGCAAAATTTACCTAAAAAATTAAGTGATAAATTATTCACATATCACTGAATGTGATATAGCACTAAAATGTATCAAATTTAGTATTTAATAATTCAATAATTTAATAAATTCAAACTTCAGATTTCAGATTACAAATTTTAATTTTCAAACTTTGATTTTATCAAACACAGTTTGTTAAGTTGCAAGTCTACTTAATGTAGCTGTAAGTTGCAGGTCCACACAAAGTTCCTTTGGCTTGCACATCAACACTAGGTGTGCAGTGTGCTATATGTGACCAGGAGAAGGGGAAGAATGTCTTTCATTGACACCTCATTGCATGGAGCAAAGTTACAGGTCCCACTATGCATATGTTACTGTAGAGTTTAATTGCGTGAACAGTGCAATAGCACCATGATGTAATAGTATAGATGCACCACAATCTCAATATAAGAAAGATCGAATTCTCACTTCATAAATCCTATATTATATATTCTCTCCTAGAGCTTACTAGACATCGGAAGTTGTTGATCGATGAATTCTTGCATATGCATCGGATCGATTGTCGTAATAAAATCGTATAGAGTATTTTCGGGTCGAACTCATAGGTACAAATTAATTTTCTAATTTAATTATTTTAACAAAAATAACAAAATTTAAACTCAAAGGGTGTTGTAATCACTACTCGAGAAATTAAATAAATAATCAAATCAAATAAGGTATAGGTGAGAAAACAATTGGCAAAAGTCTAGGGTTTCAAATTTTGATCCAAAATTTGAGTTAATTATCCAATTAATTTCTTAATATGCCAATAACGTATCACACGCAAGTATCTTAGATTATCTCTCGATACGTCTAAGTTATGCCTAATTAAATCTCACGTTTCTCTCGAGATCATAAGTATTTAATTAAACCCTTTTGAGATTTTAGGTGATGTAATTACGTCATATAAAGCCTAACCTACTCTCGTGATTAGGTTAAATATGTTTATTTATCTAGTGCACGGTTGTCTATTCTTTTTCAGTTTAATACAAACTTTTATAGCATATCTATGGTGGCCAATTACAAACATGTAATTAAATCAAGGCAAAAGTCAAGAAAGTAATTAAGATAAATAATCAAAACTCCTTCACAAAATCCTAACCCTAGATATAATTTAGTTCATCATAATCGTAAGAGTAAACAAGAATTCAATATTGAGAAATACAACACTTAGAATAAAAAGCATGTAGAACTTTCCAGTTAACTAACTCTAAATCTCGTGCCTTGATCTTTAACTTTGATTCTTGAAACACAAGAAAAAATTCTAAGACTAATGTTTTGACAAGTGTTTTTTCCATTAAAAACTTCCTAAATACTCCTATTTATGGGTCTCTCAAATCTTAGTTGAATCCCAATAGAATAGGCTTCTTCAAGTTGAAGAAAACGAGCCTGCGTGATTTTCCTCCGGAGTCCAGCACAAAGACTAGTGACAAGTCCAGTGCCGGACATTGGTGAATGGTCAAACTTTCATTTTCTAGACAACATCCGGTGATAAGTCTGTAGGCCCGTCAATCGGGCCATATGAGTCGGATTTTCATAAGCTCAAATCCAGTTCATTTAATTTGCAATACTTTCAGATTTTAAGTCATGAGTTTCGGGTTAATAAATGTAAAAATCATACTCAACTCACAAAATATTCGGATTTGAGCTTTATTCGGGTTCAGCCCAAACTCATATGTTACTCAATTTTCTTAATATAATTACTATAACTATTAAGTTGTAAAATTAATTTAGCATTCACAAGACTACAACATTAAAATTTAACATGAACAAGTAATATTCCTTAAAAAGCACATAAATAAAAAAATTTTCAACAATATTTGTATTTAATTTGTTCAAAATACATGAAAAATAGTAATAAAACATGTGGTCATAAGCCAATATATGTTCAAAGGTTGGAACTTCTTCACAGCCTTGTAACTTAAATCCAAACATGCTTGATGATTTTTATTTCTAAACCAAAACGAAATCAACCAATATTATGCCAACATAAAAATTTCTCAGCTAATAAAAAAAGTTAGAGTTTCAGTTATGCATTACAAATATTGACTCTCAAGAAAGCTAATAGAGGAGTCTTCAAATGTATATTTGTGTTTTGTAATTTGTATATATTTAGTATTTAGTAATAATATATTTGACTATATAATTATATATAATATCAAAATATAAATATTATAGATATATCATTATAGATATAGAGGTAATTAAGGGCCTAAAAAATAGCCGGGCCCAAACTCAGACTGGTTCACTGAAAAGTGAGCCAATCGACCCTTTTCTCAGACCGAACGAGCCGAGCTCAAGATGGCCCGACTCCATTAACAGCCCTATGAGTCTGGCACCGAACATTGCATGATTCTTTCCTCCA